GGCTAAACATTTAAAGTTCCTATAATATCACTTGTGGAATGAGATACACTTACAGGTGCTAGAACATTCAATACGTTTTCAGAGGAGCAGTATGCAGCGAACAAATAATGGGAGTGATTTTATCGTACGGATAGATTGTGGTAGGTTATTCCAGAGTCTTGAAAATTTACAGGTAAAGTAATTCATATAAAGAGATGATTTAGAATAAGTTTGTTTCACTGGTGCCAAGTAATTACGGATGTCATATTGAGAAGTTTCTGCATATTGAGTCACGTGATTGGATGTAAAGGATAGTTTATTAAGTAGTTTGAAGGAAAAGATATTTAGTTTGAGTCTCCTCTTCCATTAAGGGCCTAGCCCAAGTTTACTACATCTAGAATTATTAGGTACAATCAGCTCCAAGAATACAAAGTGTAAATCGTCTCTGTACTGATTCCAGCTTTAATTTATCATTTATACCCGCAGTGCTAAGAATAAACGTGTAATATTCTAGAAGAGGTCCAACACAAACTTTGTACATTAAAATACGTGACTCATTGTTATAAGGGTTTCGGTTTATGTAACTGTTATAAATCTCTCTTACGGTTATAACCCAGCTATTCCTATTGCTTATTATTCTCGGACACCGACTCACTCGTCAAGTCCCCCAAATCAGAACAAAGTTGTACAGGAAAAGAGATTATATTCCAAATAACAGGGTTATATGGAAATAAGTAGTAAGTAAGTACAATAGGGAAAACGTTAGTATATTTATAGTTTTTCACGTAAGGAGATTTCTAGAGTGTTCACTAAGTATTGAATAACGCTGATCGGATAAGAACCAGCCAATCAGCGTGCACCAAAGCAGTCGTGCATTGAGCATGCTTTGATCCAGCCACTGTCCCGCTAACAGTAACCTACTAGACGTTGATACTTAGAGGTATATTTCAATATCTGTTCTGTAAACGACAAGTCTTGGAAGTATCTAAGTCCTAAGTCTACTACTGTATGTAACCTAGATAACACTCTTCCATTTATGGTAAGGTCTAGCTTGAGTGATGTATCGCTGAAGCATATCCATCCACATTTAGACGTATTAAGCTCCAGTTGCCATTTTAAGCACTACTGTGCTACCTTGTTAAGCTCCATGCTGATGCAATTTTGCATATTTTTCAGCTCATATGGAGAAAATGAATATACTACTTTAAGATCATCTACATATAGAAGGGGCTTACCCACACAAAAACATTTACAAACATCATTGATAAACATTAAAAAAGGCAAAGAGCCTAAGACACTACCTTGTATTACACCACTTCTAACAGGGACAGCGTTAGACAATGAAGAGTTAATTTTAACTATTTGATGTCGATTGCTGAGAAAGGAGTCAAACCAAGCTAGCAAAGGATTTTGAACCCCATAAGATGCGAGTTTACCTATAAAAAGTTGATGGCTAACCATGTCGAAGGTTTTAGAAATGCCCAGATATAGCACTAAGACTGAATATCCTTGGCTACGTAGAGAATAGACTAAATTAAAGAAGTCAAAATGATATGTCATGCAAGATCGATTTTTAAGAAATCCATGTTGATTATCATTGATAAATTTTCCAGCGAGGAAACAGTTAGAGAATTCATCACTTATAATTTTTCCCATAATCCTAGAGATAACTGGAGTAATATTTATCTGCCGATAATTGTTCATGTCAGTCTTATCTCCAGATTTGTAACGTGGTATGATGTACGCGGTTTTCCAACAGTAAGGGTAAGAACCAGTTTCCATAGAGAGAGTAAACAGCTTTAGAAGAACAAGTGGAATACCTGGACCACCATACTTGTAGAGAAAGGTTGAAATCCCGTCTACTCCGTGACCTCTCGAAAGCTTAAGGGTAGCCTTAATAATTTTCATGCATGTGAAGGATATAGATGTTATTGGGTTGCTAGTCACTCAAATAACTCTTGAAACAGAGCCACTTATGATTCCTACACCATTCGCAAAAATACCACTGAAAAGGTCTGATATAGTTTGAGAGTCGTATATAAAAGTGCTATTATGCTAGATGCATAGTATATGGTAATAAGTAATAAGTTTAAAAAGGAAGTATGGAGTGTAAAAAACTGAGAGCTACCCTATTGATGTTGTGTATTTTGGATTTGCAGAGACTGTGGTTTGTTATGTTTGACTGATTATATGGGCTACCGCTTGGACAAACTATTGCTAGTGGGACCAGGGCCAAAAAATCATTATTTTGATAAAGTGGATTAATTTGTTGAACTTGACTAGGCGGACAGTTAAGACAAGCACTTGCTAGTTGGGGTTGGGTTGATGTTGAGTAACCCAGTAATCCATCTTGCCCAAGGGAAAAGTGTTGAGAAAAGTTACGTTTTGCAGGTTTATTATTTAAAACGTTCGAGGGTAACCGTGGGGCACATTGGTTCACTGTGGTCTGTCCAATATTAGGCCTGCTTACATAATGATTGCAGTGGTCGTCTTGTGAGACATTTGAATCAAGTCTACCCTTATAACCTCCCCTACAATGCATAGGGTAAAGCATGGTGTCGAGAAGTATAGTTTTATTTTTATTTGGTAGGGCCATCGTAATATTTTTGTTATTGAGTCTAGAAGCAGAAGGTTCTGTACATACGTTCTTTTTACGTGGCATAGACTTTTAATCTTGACATTGTTTTTAAGAGCTGTCGCATTAGAACTAAGTATTTGCTTATGGGCTTCTAATGCTAAACTGGATAATATCGGATTAGTGTCGTCGTTAGATGAAAATTGGTTATCATTACAGGCATAATAGGCAAATTAGCACTCTTTGTTGGTAAATCAGAGTATTTGAGAACATGAGATAGGATAGCTGCATCAGGGGATCCAGCAGCTGATACACCTTTATTTTCGTTCAAGGTACGTTTTTGCGTAAGTCTTTGATTGGTTGTCTTATCTGAGACTATACGAGCGTTTCTAAACTTAGTAAGCGCGCAGATTAACCGCTCGAATTCTTTTAACTGTTCAGCTAATATATGAGAATCGATTCTGAACAAGACCGGACACGAGTATTTCTGGTGCTTTTTATTAAGTCGAATGCATTGACATGGACTGTCTTAAAGGTTAGATGCTTTTAATATTGAATTCCTTACAGTTTTAATGGGGATTCTGTCAGGTATATTATAGACAATCACGTTATTACGAGAGACTATTTGCTTGCTAACTTCATTAGCGATAAAATCGATAACAGATTCTGCTTTTACAATGTCATCAAGTTCCCCAGGAACGATATCTTGACAAAAGCAGTTTAAGGGCTGATAGTGTCTTTATTTCTTGTTTCAGATCATCATGCTTTAATGAAGAGCTAGCAAGTGACTCAACTTTAGAACACATGTCGTTTAGTTGCTTAAAGATAGTGTTTAATTCACTCTTAATATTATCGATACATTTTGATCTTGAGGTGGAACTCAATTAAATTAGAGACAGAGTCATCCAGCAGCAGGTGTGGTGTACGACCACTCCCAACATTATCAGCTTCAAAAGGAGTAGCAGAGCATGGGGACTAGGTAATAATAGAATTGTCATTATCTGAAGTATTAGGGCTTTTCCGGGCTCGTTTTTTGAAAGTTGACCCATATCGCTTTAAGTATAAATTCTAAAGCTATATATGAGTTATAAACTAGGATTCAACGATATTCAAACAATATATATTAGATACCGTGTTATCGTAACGCAAACGTAAGGTCGGTCACATACGACCTTTTTGTGGGAAATTTTCGCGTTAGCTCCGTACTTGTTGAGACCTCACCGCCGGAGACGAAGGTCCGTGAGATAAGGTGAGCTGTGCATTTCTAGGGTCGACCTTTTCGGACCCCACCCTTCCTTATGGGAAGGCAGCATCGCTGCAGATGCTGATTGTCTGAGGGAAACACGTTACTGCCGTCACACCTCTGTACAGTCAGCAGTAGGACTTCGCCTTCGGACCTTGGGTTTGCTGCTGTTAGTTTTACCGTTCTTCAACCGACCTGTCTGGCATGGTAGGATCTTGAGGAACAATTGTTCCAGCCAGTATGGCTCGATTGGTTTATCACGATAGGCAAGCCCAACCACCACATCAAGGTAGCAGCGACGGTCGGGTAAATAATTTAGGAACAATAATAATAAGTATTGAGATTATGGTTCTAAAAGACATTGTAATGGTATGTATGGAAGAATATTGGGGTTCAAGATGGAGGGGAAGATAAAGAGTAAATGCATCCGTGCCTTCGTGAATGATTTGAAACCATGTCACTCAAAGTTTCTAATCACTGATCACGGCTATCATGCTAACCCCAACCAGGTAGTTTGCTTTTACCAACATGACCTGATAACCTGATCTTCTGTTCTAGTTTGGTCGTCTCTGCGTTCTTTTCAGTCTATTTCTACATTCTACAGATTTATGATAAAGGATTATTTAGTTGTGCAACTACATGTAGCTACATGCACTGGGCCAAAATACGAGCTTTTACCATGCCGTATGACCTCAAACCTTATAAAGTTGAACCAGTTTTCAAAAGTCCAAGCTTTACTCAATCTAACAAGCTCGAGATATATAAAGATTTGCTGTTACAGCAACATGATATTTACTATGAGGTTCACAAATTCACATATTTTTGATTGTATCCAGTAGTGGTTTTATTATGGATTATGTTTTCTAAATTATTTGATCAGACAAAATTTTCGATTGTTAAAACTAATAAATAGAATGCTAATCGATAGGTAAATGCAATGATATGATGTAGTCGAGTGTTGACTACTCATGAAGCCATAATACTGACTTAAACCCTCAAATGATTAGAAATCAAAGACAAGACTACTGGCCAGGTAAATAGTTTTTTATATAACAAAATAACATGCTCATATACAAAATATGGACACAAAAGAAGTAAAAAAAAGTATCATTGATTGGAGAAAATTAGCTTGTAGACCACTTATTCTCCAATCTTTTAAGACCCGTTCATTGGGCCTAGTTTTTCATTATTCAGTATAATATTTAAACCTGAAACGAAGTCAAAATAGTTCGTTTATAACTCTTGAGTTTAATTTTATCCTCTTCATTCATCGATATAGTTCGCCACTAAAAATAGAATCATCCACACATATAAAGATAGTGAGAAAGGAGTCCAATCAAAGTGAAAAAATAAGCGAACGAGAATAATACAGGTGGTTTTCTAGTGGGGCCTCCCCTAGAAGTCTCATCTACAAGGTAGTAGAGAAACTTAAACGAATTCCGTCCTATTATATCCAGTGAAAAAGGAGGCAATAGACTGCTCACTATCTCAGGATCCTGGAGTTCACGTGGACCATTTAGTTGGAATCAGGGTATTATAACTCCTAGATGAACCCTTGGTTTAAGGGGCGGTTGTTCGTATTTTGTGCTTTCATTCCCGTAAACAATACCCCCACCGTGCGAAGGTAGAGTCAGATTTCCTTGGCAGTCTGTAAACGCTTAACCTTACGAGAGTATTTAAGGAGGAGAAGCGGGCTCCTCAACCCTTGACTATAACGGGGTGTTGGGGAGCGCTTGGTTAAAAAAAGAAACAGACGTTGATTCATCTTGTAGAATATGCACTCTTGAACGTCACAGATCTCACTGTCCAAAAAAATGTTATCACACAGAGTCGTACTGTTTAAATTAGTTGTTTCCCTCTTACCCGTTAGTCAGACAGGCTCTTATGCGATAGCAAGTTGTAAACAGGTTCATTTTTCCTCTTTGAACTTAAAATTATCTTGAGTTATAAGTACATTAGTAAAAATCAATCATATCGGTAAATTCTTAAATATAAATATTTCTATGTTATGTTACAGTTCTTATTTTTTACCAAGCTTACATGGTTGCTCCTGTTACATATACTTAAGGTATTTAATTTTTGTAGGGCCATGTCAGCTGATAGTCTTAACTCAATAACTCGACCTATTCCCAAACCATCTGATTTTAAATTTGGTAAAGAGATTGGACAAGGTACCTTCTCAACTGTTTATGTTGTTCAAGAAATTTCAACAAGTTCAGAATTCGCTATGAAGGTTGTTGATAAACAACGTGTTTGGCGTTACAAGGCTGTGGACTCTGTACTGATGGAGAAAGAAGTACTTAAACGCACAAACCATGTTTTCATCATTCGTTTGCATTGCACATTCCAAGACTCTACTAGGTTATTTTATCTTCTTGAATATGCAAGATGTGGAGAACTATTGTCATACCTTACTTATTTCACGTCCTTGAGTGTTCACTGTACTCGCTTCTATGCTGCAGAAATCTTTGCAGCCCTAGATTATTTACATTCAATGAGTATAGTTCATCGAGACCTAAAGCCGGAAAATGTTTTATTAACAGATAAAATGCACATCAAGCTGGCCGATTTTGGATCAGCTGTTATACTAAACTCTCCAAATATTAAAGCACCTAGTTTTACTGGAACTCCAGAATACGTTAGTCCTGAAATGCTTTCTCGTATTTCTAGACAAGGTGATTGTACTCCAAATAGTGAAAGCTCACAGGATCTTACTTATCTAATGGACTTTTGGGCATTCGGGTGTATAATTTATCAGTTGATTTCTGGATCCTCTCCGTTCCGAAAAAGTGGTCCTATCCATGAATATGAAACATTTCAGAAAATTTTAAGTTTATCTTATACATTTGCCCCAAATTTTGATCCGATTGCAAAAGATTTGGTGGAAAAACTACTTGTAATCAGTCCCAGTGAACGCCTTGGTAGTCCTTCCCATGGTGGATCCGTATCTGTTCGTCGACATATGTTTTTCTCTGAAATTAAATGGGACATCTTGCCTTACCAAGAACCTCCTTTACTAGTTCCAAACTTGGAACCAATTGCTCCTGAGGGTTGGGATAATCTACCTGTTGGTTTTAAAGAAGCAGAGAAATATCACTTGTCGCGTGAACTCGGTTTGTCTCCTTCTCAAATAACTGAAGATGATCGTATTCGTTTATTAAATGCACAAGGAAAGCACAATCCTTTCAATCGTTTCGTTCGTGGTCGTTTAATTCTAAAACAAGGCATATTGTTTAAGCGTCGAGGATTGTTTGCAAGAAAGCGGATGTTTTTACTAACGGAAGGACCCCATCTCTTTTATATCGATGTTGAAAATATGACACTTAAAGGAGAAGTTGCATGGTCCGATTCGTTAACTGTTGAATTGAGAAGTAACAAATTATTTTTTATTCATGTTCCAAATAAAACATATTATTTAGAAGACCCTTCTGGTCACGCGGACGATTGGGTAAAACAAATAACATCCGTCAGAGCGCGATATTTTAAAGATACTCAAACTTTATGTTCAAATGATCCGAGTACCTCTATCGAATTAAGCATTTAATCTCGTAAACCTCTTCAGACAAACGACTTATTTTTTTGTTCAGTTAGGAATGTGAAAAAGAAAAATATTGTTTGTTGTGTTAAAAATCATTTTAAAATGTGTACACTAAATTGTTATTTAGTGTTACCGAATTCAATCAGTTTTGTACAGTCAGAATTTATATATATTAACTTACTGCTTTTTCATTTTTATCTCGTCCAAATTGCTTGTTGCTTGCCTGATATTTTATTATACATGTGAATTTATTTTTTCTAATGTTTAACGCGTCGATTATATAAATAGTTGTCAATTTTTACGTTAACTAATTAAAGTTACGTATAGAGAAATTGTGTCATTTGGTAAACTTAATTTTTAAACTTAATGATATGAGAGTGCAATGTACTATACTGTTTTTATTATTAATCGTTAAATATTGATCTTGAAGAAAGAAAAAAGGCCTCTATTTCGAATCGGTGTGAATCTTTTAGATATGACTAACTCCTCTGTTACAAAGATCGCCTCTAATCTGTTAGAGATTTCCAATAAATGGGACATAATGCTATATCGTTCTTAGATGAACGAAATCACTTAACAATACTTTTTTTCGAGAACTTGGTGCTGCCCACACAGAGCTGCTCTAGACAGTTTGACCATGTATAAAAAGCAGACGTTTTACAACTAGCTAGCCTCTTAAAGAACGACACTTATGTTTATGGATTCCCGATGTTACTAGAGATACATTGGGTTCTGTTCGAGATACGTGAGTGGTTTTCACTCTCCGATTCCTCCCACTGTGGAAACATACCTCCTTGATCGATCGATCTGAGAATGTAATTTCAGAGCCTGAGAAACAACCGCCTTACGAATTTTGTGAATAGTTTTGAATGTATTAGCTCCATACTTTTCAGACCTTACGGGCGATGATGGAAATCCATGTTCTGTTTTAATTGCTGAAGTTTCCTCTCTTCACTTCCATGAGAAAGCAACATCTTTGGAGATGGTGGCTGATTCATAAGAAATCTCACTATGTCATCGTACCCCTAATACATTCACCAGTTCGAGTTAACCGTCGAACTCTAAGTTTGGTGCTTTCAGTCTTAACAATCTTTAACCAATCTGCCTAATTTGATAAAACCTCAAGAAGTGAATATTCAACTTAGCATAGGTTGATTAAGTCATTATGATACCCAAACGTCATGGTGGTAGCTCCATAATCAGTTTTCCAGTAGTCATATCAGATTAAGCTTTCTTTTCGATGTGTGGGCAAGAATGATAATGATCGGTTTTTTGCTTAGTCAGACTAGTAGATAGTCTGACAGGTGCTCGATGAGTTATACGTTCTCCTTCCCTTATTACTATTGTGATTGTTGTTGGTTTTTGGTGTGGAAATATACTTATGTTCTTGTCAGGCTAGTCACATGTTCTTGATCTGAGTTGTGTTGAAGTCCTGTAGAATAGACATTGGGAGAGCATCTAGTGTCGATATACGTCTAAGGCGAATTAGCGTCCCATTCATGTAGACGAGGAAAGCAGTCTTATAACACTTTCTCATACTAGCCAAACATTAAACTGATAAAAAAATCTCCCTGAAAAACCTAAGGCAGATAAACAGGCGTTCGTTAGTAGTATATCTCTTCAATTCGTCGCACTTTAAAACAATACTGAGAAGATACTAAAATAAAACAAAGCATGTTAGCATTTAATAATAGTCTAGTGAAATTTATGAATGTTTTTTTCATTGTGCAAGGCTATCCCAATGTACCTTGGTTTCAAGTTATCCAGCACATGGTGTTCAACATTATGTTTATTCGCGTTAGGGAAAGTATCTCCACATAGAACAGACTAGCAGGATACATTGCTGTCGATTGCCATTATGTCATTTTTCGATCTGCGATAATTTCGAGAAATTTTCACTGAGGCCATCATTAGCGATTGAAAGTGTTTTATTGTATTTAACATTTAAAGTTACTATGTACCTATTGGTTGTATGTACTACTTAATGTTTCATCCTAAATGTAAACTCGATCACAAATCATTTGCATAGCCAAAAATTCACTACATGTTTTGTACGTGAAACTGGCAAAATACAAAACTCTGGTATCAATCGCTACTAGTCTCAGCTTTTCAATTCAGTTTTGAATGAAATAAATAACAAATTATCGAATTAGGCTGAAATTTAAACACTAAACAACTAATAATTTTTCCATACATAGATGAATGTAAATGGCTTTCTTCAAACTTTATTCTTACAGAAATATGTTCTCATAGGGCAAATCACATTCTTTCCAAACGATATTATACTAACCATACCATTGTAGTAGTGATGGTTTATCTTTTCTTTTTTCCTCACATTCACTGCCAAAATCTGTGACTGTCACCACCCAGTTGACATCTCATAATGCCTATCTAGCACATTATTTAGGTACAGAATCATTTAGTTTTCAACCACTCTCTGAGTTTATAGTTTAAAACCAACTTTCTCAGTATAAGCAAGCTAAATTCAAGTAGGCAAGTACACACTTGAGAGGTGAATTAGATTGATTAACTCAGTATATTATATAAGTACGATCAATGAAAGTCCATCAGTTTGCTTCATTTTAAAATTTTAGGATGCATAGCTTAATAAACTCGATGGTTGAGGTGTTTAAAAACAATAATTCTTAGCCGTACTCACTAAATTGATGTACTCTGGAAACTGTCGTGACCTTTTTTCATGAATATGATGCTAGGAATTTTGCTCTTTATTTCTATTCTCTAATATCGACACCGAGTCGCAATTAATGGTTAAAAGGTTGGATCCTCAGCCCCCACCTAATTCGGTTTGGGCGACCGGGTGTCATTAGCCGTCACATTGCAAACGTGGTTCCTACCTAACTACCTGGGGAATGGATTTATGTAACTAAATTTAATATGAATACCCATTACCAGCTGAATATTGTCGCCTTTCTACTCGATTTAAAGCTGTATTTACCACGAAATTTATGGGTAAAAAATAATTATGCAAGTGTGTAAACACTTCTACTAGATATCTCACTTCAGTTAAGGACTAAAAGCTTTCCATAATATTCAACGAGTTAATAATGCATCAGAATCACTAAATTGATATTTGATAATGAAATCCTATATATTATAAAGTCAGTTATTTAATGATGTAAGACTTTCGGATTTGTTATTAACAAATTCAACCTTGAATTCTACTATTTCGTTTACTTTGATTACATGCTATTTCTTATGTTTACTTGTTTTCTAACACTTGGATGCTGGTTTTTCTTTTCGCTTTTTTCTTTTTTTCTCTCATCTTAAGTTCTAGTCGTTAATTTACCAACAACATCGTCGTCAACATTATTGTTATTATTATCACCACCATTGTTATGCGTGATTAAAGCCAACCAACAACTTTAAATCTACATTATGAAATTCACTTCATTTGCATATTTCAATAAGGTTTTCATGGGTCTTGATTTTGTCCCATTAGAAAATGAGCAACCAGTTCGTGGTGGATTCTACAGAAGTTCACAGATTTTTATCCCACTTGCTAAATTTATGAATGTTCCATTAGATCAAATTAATTATGTTGTTAGTGGAGTGATTAGCATCGGTCTGGGTCAATTAATGCGACGCCGGTTATCACCTCAGAAATGCTCTCCACGAATTCGTGCAGTTTTTGAAACCTTATTTGGTCTGTTGTTATTATCATTTTGCTTTGGTAATCAATTGCGTGTATTATTGATACAATCAAGTATTGCTTATCTATTCATGATGTGTCTACCTAGTAATCATTTTATGGCTGTATTAGTGACAATTTGGTCGTTATTTTATCTTACATTAGTACATATTTGTCGATTAAAATATGATTATGGGGGATATACACTGGATATTTCTGGACCAGTAATGGTACAAACTCAACGTTTATCTAGTTTAGCGTTTAATCTTGTCGATGGTGTATCAGTGCGTAAAATGTCTGGTCCAAATTATTGTAAATCACAACAAACTAATTGTTCCACCAATGAAATAATCAATCGTGATGAAACTGTGGAACAATTCCCACCTTGTTGCAAAGGGAACGCATTCACTGAACTTGATACAACAACAATGATAATGACTTCGAAATTGAAGTCAAACACTATTCATTATCATGCGCCAAATCATTGTAAATCAATGCAACGTGCTACTGCTATTGGGTCGGATAGTCATTCTGTCATGATGAATATCCCTACAAGTCATAAATTACATGCTGTTGAGAAAATTCCAGATCCGATCATATTTTTTGCATACATGCTTTATTTTCATGGTGTATTTGTTGGACCTTTCACGTTTTTTTCTGAATATATGGATTATCTTAAAGGTTACACAAGCAGAGAATTACCTCCAATCAATATGCGTTATTTAATCACTTTATTTCTACGTACAGTAGCTTCGGGCCTATCAGCTGCCTATTTATGTCCTTATTTCCCGTTTGAATTTGTTTTAACTGAGCCGTTTACAGTAAGTTCTATTTATAATTGTCTAACCAAAATATTTGTTGAAATCACGAGCTGATCCAAGTTAAACAACCACTGAACACTTGGAAGCACTGGACAGGTATTTTGTCCTAGTATGGAACTTGTTAGGGGGTTCCAAAATTTATCGACAAGGAAACATTATCCAGTCAGCGTTGAATAAAGACTTTCCAGAAGCATCTGGAAATTGGGGAGTCACTTTTCCGATTGTATATTTACCTATACTGCTACTATATTTAGAATGGACCCAGAAACTTCCAGAAGCCTGATGTCATGTGTTACTCTATAAATACACGAACCAACCTTGTATTGAAGAGTCCTTTTAGCACCTTGCGGCTTTTTTCTTGTGTTCAAATTACCGTGCAGATTAATCTTGGGGTTATTAGAAGTGTCTAAGAAATGGGATCGAGCGTTCATTTCGCAAACGTATCACAACGCTTGTGCTCATTCTCAACTCCGCAACTGGTAATCGAAGCCAGGCGATTCGTTCTCGTTCGAGAACTCTCAACTTCTAGACTACTGACTCACAATTCAATGGTGTACAACTTTAACTCCAATCAATCAACAATTTTGATAGGAAATATTCCATTAGCTTTATAGAATAACTTCTTCACAGCCGACGTCATCGAACTTCAATGGTCATGCATTCTCACGACAACCTTGGGAATCCCTCCTTGCGCTCAGTGGTCTAAATGTCAAGCGTTCACACACAAAACCAGAAGCCCTTCTTCTGAATCCCGGTTGCGGGGTCGTGCGTGCGTACTGCTAAGAAGTCCCATACTCGGACGAAACGCCAGTCCAGTGCTTTCAACTGTTGTCTAACTTAGATCGGTTCTTGATCTCAACAAGATTTCTACAATCTCCACAACCCTATACTGATAAAATATTTTTATCTAAGAGGAAAGTAATTGTTACTTTAAAAAAATTAAGTGATAGTGAATCAATAGTTAAAGCATTTGGCTAATGGTCGCATCAATAGAAACATAACCTTGAATACATCTCGTTTGAAGTACAAGAAACCCTCTTCGAAAGACAAAATCGTATCCAGTATTCATCTCAATTTCAGGATTAGTTTTAAAAATAATCAGTAGCTTGAGACGATAGTTAATTTCATTCACTTCGTCTCATGCAGTTGTGATATAAAGCATCCAAAAACACTTTCATGCTTTTTATGTTTACTGTGTTCATAATACATGTATGCATCAAGTCGTTTAATTAAAAAGGACAGATCATTCTCTCTCTTCGTCTGCCAACAAAACAGTAAAAATAAATTTTCGTACTTTAAACTGTCGGATAAAAAGTGATTGTATTTTTTGTCGTAATAGTCTGAATGTTTATATCGGGAATTGCTTTCACTGAATCAAATAAATCTTAATGGTTTGATCGATTCTGTCATCTCGAGTAGTGTTAGAGGTATTAGGATCGGTTGTCCATACTGTGGAAGGACATTTGCTGTTGGGCAACCTAAAAATGAACCATGATTAGGAGTGATTTTGACGATCTATGAGCATAACCATAATACCCAAGGAGTAACTGCTTACGACCAGTCATGTATGGCATTTTTGTGAATAGTTCTGTGTGTGTTACCTCTGTGCTTTTAAGACCTTGCTATCGATAACGGGAATCTATAGAGGCAAGATTGATGCGCACTCATTTTTAGAATCGACCTTCTGCAATCTCCCTTCCTTCATGGCAAGACAGCATCGATGTATATACTGAGGAAAACCTTGGTACGACTTCACCCTCACACACTGTGTGTATAATCAGTTTATAGTCAGCCATCGATAAAAGCGGTTTCCACCGAGACTGTCGTTTCTAGTTATGAACTCAACAGCAAATGTCCTAAACCTCTTTTACTGTAGAATAAGTATTATAGTTGTCTTTTTTCCAAAATAATAAGTCTTGTTGGTTTCTGTCAATAATTTTCCTACATACTACAGGATCACTGATTCTTAAACTATTCGGTTTGAATAAAACCATTAGTCTAGTGGTTGTTAAAGCGTCTAACTTTCGCGCAGTAATTCTCTCGTTTAAACCCTGGTTCACCTATCCATCTGAGGAACTAGGCAGTGTTACTAGGCTTTATACTTAATGTGTGGCGATCATATCCACGGTCCTGATGAATGATTTAGTTTAATTTGGCGTTGAACCAATTATTCCGTAGATTACTATTGTCTTCTCCATCTGTAGTGTTCAGTCTCCCTTTATTCATCTGAAAAAATGTAACTCAGTTGTAAGAAAGTAATGAGGTTTATATACCTTTTGACTTCTTCGAGCTGTACACATTTTTTTGTTCATATTGAGGATAAGTAGTACCATCTGATTATCAAAATACGAATTGTCGTTGAAAGTAACACTATTTCGTTTTAATTCTATATATATTACATTATTATTTAAGCGTATAAACATTATTATAAAGGGGTATCAATATATATATATATATATATATATATGCGCCACATAAATTATCGTGAAATTTGTGTGGCCTGGGGTACTACCCGAGTGGCCAAATTCTATCATCGTAATCCACCACTTATAAAGGTTCTAGACACAATCCTAACTTGAGGTTATGATATTTATAACTTTGCACAGACGATAAAAAATCCTTTTACAATTTCATACTATTGTTCTATGCGAGGTTCTGATAGAGTTGTATTCTATATGTATGCATCCTCTCACGTTATCGTTCCTATTCCAAACATTTTGCATTATTGAAATGATCCTGTTGGACTTGTCATTCACAAATTTTCTGCTTAGCATATATTTGGCTTCATAATGAACTGGACTACATGTACAGGTTTATATCACAGGCTTCATTGTCAATCATAGTAAGCTCCAATTAAATATTACACTCGCGTAAACGTCCTATTTGGTATTAAAGGTGTACAGCTATGTGGATGTTTTTACTACATTATACTAACGTTCAATGCACTTTAATCATTCCTTTTGAGTTACTATTATGTTTTACACTTGTACTGTTGTCAAAGAAAAAATAAGAGTTTTGAAAGCATTGTTAGTATATGTGATCACACACTCACAAATTTTATGTATTTGTTTGTTTCAATTTAGAATTACTCCATGTTGCATCGTATTTTATATGTAACCATTTCTCTATTCTTAATTCGACAAAAGTACTACTTTGCATGGGGTTTAGCTGAAGTCAACGGAGTGGCTGTCGGTGCTGGTTATACTGGCCAGTGTCCACGCACAGGTGCTACATTAAATCATAACATTCGCAATTTTGATTTCATTAAAGTTGAAACTGGTATTAGTTTAAAACATGTTATCGATGCATGGAATATCTCAACTACACGATGGTTACGTGAAACATTTTATGATCGTCTTCCATCAGCTTATCGTACAATCCTTGTCTTTATTATAAGCGCTTTTTGGCATGGCTTTTATCCTGGCTATTATATTATGTTTTTATCGTTTGCCTTATTCACTATGACCTCACGTCTATGGCATCGTCATTGTCGTCAATATTTCCGTAGAAATTATCTCTCCAGTCAACTCTATAGTGTATTTACCATGATCATTACTAATTTAATTGTAAATTATGGTCAAGCACCATTTCACCTATTAGATTTCTATTCATCATTGAAATTTTTACGTATATTCTATTTTATACCGCATCTAATTGCTGTCGGTATTTTGTTTATCTATTTTTCCAAAGTATGCATTATAAAATTATCACTTAAGTATCAGCTTGATATTAAGAGGTTTGATTATGATAAAAGTAATGATGATAAAAGTCGAAAATTATCAATTTCTTCAAATCATGATCGTGGTTTTGGTGGCCATTAATTACTAAAGGACGACGATCACCACTACCTTCAATACCCCGTTCGCCTCCTGCTTATGTTCATCAGTTAACACTTGCTTGCTTATGTCTCCCCTCTCGCTCTTGTTTTTTTCATCCATCCATTTATCTATTTATCCTATAAAAACATACTCAAATATATTCCTTGTTGCGTTTATCCCCTTCCACCCTCTCCTGCCCACTGTCGAAATCATGTCCCATTGCATGTACTGCTACTTCCTCCATTTCCTTAAAATTAGTATTCTCATAATCACTCAGTCTTCTTTTGAATGTTTATGTGGGTTACATTTTGTGGGGTTGTTTTTTAATTTTAAAAAAAATGGGACGAGAAAAATTATTCTATTTCAATGATGCGTTTGACTATGGTATATATATATATATATATTGAAGTCTTCTTGATTACCTAATAATTTGACTTACCAAGTGTTCACTTGTAATAATAATATTACTAGTAAGTGATGAGTTCACATAACAGTGAGTTGAACTTCTATTTGTTCGTGTGTGTTGTGAACGTTTTCTCAAATATTAAATCATATGAAGAATGTGTTGTGATTTGGTATTGGTTTTATGTGGACATGCATACATATATGCATAATGGATACAAGGGATCGACTAACCTAGGGGAGTCGGAAAACCGTGGTTCTAAACCAAGAGACATGAAGAATTTGGGAGAACACAAAGGGTGGATTCACCTGCGCCATTGCAAACGATTTTGAGCCATGTCATTCAAAGTCTCTAATCATCGGTTGCTATCGTCTCGCGGATCCCAACCAGGGTAGTCTTCACCTACCAACATGGCTCAGTCCACTTGTCAAAGTTAAACAAGAAGTAGTACCATCTTCCCAATATGTGGTGGATTGAGTTTGGAAAAGGGACTTGTTGAACATCTTTGAATGGCTCTGAAATATTTTCTACAAGGGATGGAAGAAACGAAAGTCTTAGGCTACTAAGCATTCAAAAACCTTTCACAGTCACTGATACTATGGTCAGTGTCTCAGCAGTTTCACTGTGAATTGTCTATATGAATATCCTCCGAGTGGACCCTACCTAAGTGATTCAATGAAGTTTCAGCTCTGGATGCTTCAGCCAGTTTTGGATTCCTAAATAGTCAACCAATTTCAGTTCACCTACCTACTCACAGTTCCACTTTACTAATTATTTTTATTTGACCAACCTTGCTGCTAGGTGTAGGGTCTCGTGGGGACTGTTTTAATTCATTAAATGCTAGATGTGTTATTATTGTGCCTCTTAATCCTTGTGTTAATTTGTTTCCTCCATCTTTTGCCATTATTCAGTGACGCTGTTTGTACTATTAGTATTTTTTTTCGCAACCTTATATTCCTTCCTCATTTATCATTGTTTTTGAATGACTTGCTTCGTATCAGTGCCATGTGCAGAGACCTAGATTTGTGTCCGTTGGTTGTTCAGCAAACTGTCCCTTAAAACAGTTTCGATCTTCATTGCTGCACTAGTCACAAAACCATCTCCCAATCGTTCAGTTCCGAGTATCATTTGTGAAGATCGTCCACATAGCTATTACTTACAGAATGTGAGAACAGAAATCGTGAAAACCTTGTCACTAACCACTACCGTTTAGTATTCTTAAGAGTTGTTTCTGTATTCAATTATCGTAGTCAGTCAGTCATCATGAACGTAGAGCTCGTCACATGTATGTTTTAGCCCACGTTGCCGTACTTTATCAGTACGACGAAATAAACTTAACGTGATAAATATAAAAATTGGAATAATGTCAATTAATCAGCCGCAACGTAGGATCATGCACATATATACTTCGGTCGAGGTTGCCGCACGTCATTAACACAACAAAATGAACACCAAATTCACAGGGGTAGTTACTTCAATGGTAGAAATATATAAAAGAAAGATTGTGTATAAGAATATAATACAAGAAGAAAGAATTAGTTCGTAGAAATAAAGGCATGAAGCAATTTTAATCTCACAGTTTAAGGGAAGACAAAGTGTATACACGGACGCCATTGTGATTGATTCTGAGCCATGTCACTCAGAGTCTCCAACCATTGCTTACGATAGTCACGCGGACCCCAACCAAGTAGTCTGCATCTACCAACATGGCTAAGATTAGAAGTTGGTGACTTCAAGCACTGATGCCACGTTTTGGTTTGACCGCCCTTACTTTTTTTTCAAACATCCCCAACTCTAGTCAGCATTGTGTATTGTGATAATCGGTGTTCAGGCATTATTTATTTATTTATTTTAACACATAGATATTGGTACAAGGAAGCACCAAATACATATGCGCCACACAAATTTCATTCGATATGTGTGAAGGCTGTGATACTGCCCGGGTTCCCAAACCAAAGCAGGTGGTTATCTTAGAGGGCCACTCCCCGAGCCTTTGACCTAAAGGTCTAACCCACAAGGCAGTGGAGCATCGTAAGGAGATGCAGTCCCATGGAAGCCGGTGACCGACGATTGCTTCATACGCCATACTGGAGCCCATGTGCACCATTGATTTGGAATCCGGTTCAAGCGCCGGACATTCGCTTTTCGTCCTCTCATTTTCGTAAACAACACCCCCGCCACGAGAAGGCAGTGAGTAGGACTTCCCTGGCAGAGGCTGTATACGCGTGTCCGTGTGAGAGCATTTCAAGAGGGATAGCGGACTCTCCCCACTCTCGGCCATACCAGGGCATTTGAGGGCGTTCAGACATACGTAACACGTGGCCCAACCATCTCAGTCTAAATCAAGAAAGACCACCATTTTCGGACGCCGATAAGCAAGACTGCGTTCTAAAATCTGACGAATGGTTAATATGTAGTTGATGCAGCCACGACCAGGTCTGGAGCCAGCTTGATTCTCTCGTGTTTGCGGTTCACGAATCTTTGTTAGGCGTTCGATAATTATAGATCCTAGTATTTTACATGCTATGTTAGTCAAACTAATCCCTCTATGGTTATCACAGGATGATTTTGACCCTTTCTTATGTATTGGGACAATAAGTGGTTGGAATCAGTCAGATGGAATGTTATATAGATCGCAGATTTTAGCTAGAATATTAGTCAATTTAGTCGACAAAACTGAACCACCATCCCTAAAGACCTCTGGAGCCAATCCATCTGGACCAGCTGCTCTTCCTCGTTTCAAGTTAGCTATAGCCTAAACATTCATCAGTGTAGAGTAGGAAGAGCAGGAAACTTCAGACAATAATTCGTAGCACCTCACACTTTACAGGGCTTCATTCGGTTAGGGTTTCGTATTTATTTCACTCCGTATTAGGTCTCAGAAGAGATATCTCATCCAACCCCTTGTTATTTCGAATCTGAAAAGCTCCTGTACAAATCATGAGTGACAACCTATCGATGTGCAATGCTAACCGGTGTTGGGGATCATTGGGAGAAAGTTAGGGGTGGCCAAACCAAAACGTGGCATCAGTGCTTGAAGACACTAACATCTGGTCTGAGTCATGTTGGTAAATGCAGACTATTTGATTGTGGTCCGTGTGACTATCGTAAGCAATGGTTGGAGACCCTGGGTGACATGGCTCGGAATCGATCACAATGGCGTAGGTGTATACACTTTGTTTTCCCGTACGTACTATATCTTTCTTCCTGTACTATATCCTTACATGCAATCTTTCTTTTATATATTACCACCATTGATTTAACTACTCCTATGAATTTGGTGTTCATCTTGTGCTAATGACGTGTGGCAACCTGGACCGATGCATATATGTGCCCAGTCCTACATTGTAGCTGACTAACTGACTGACAACCTATCGAATGCCCTGCTGCAATTTACGAACATTGATAGAAAATCCAATTTCTTGGGTCACTGGCTTGTTCTCGTCCTGCGATTCGGTTATATTCGGACAGGACCTCATACGAAACTCATGTTACTGTAGATTCAACAGACTTCAAGACTCTGTGACTATGCAACTCATCAATACGTGTTTTTACCACTATGCTGGTCAGATTAACACGTTGGTAGTTAGATCAGTCAGTCAGTCAGCAACAATGTAGAACGTACGTGCGTACATCAGTTCGAGTTGCCATACCACATTAGCACAGAGATACAATTGTCGATTCAAATCCCATAGTGGTATATGTAGTAAAAGTGTAAGCAGTAATCGTAAAGATTAGTGTTTTTTGATGTTATTCAAGGAATATCGTCCAGTGAAATAAATTTAGAAAGAGAAAAAAGAGATATGAAGAATTTGGGAGAACACAAAGAATGGATTAACCCGCGCCATTGCAAACGATTTTGAGCCATGTCATTCAAAGTCTCTAATCATCGGTTGCTATCGTCTCGCGGATCCCAACCAGGGTAGTCTACACCTACGAACATGGCTCAGTCCACTTGTTAGTGACTTCATGGACTTGTGCCAAGTTTTGGTCTGGCCGCCCCTAGCTTTCTTCCAATCTACTCCTACACAAAAAAAGATGAAATTTAGAGAACGATAGCGAATAACACTAGGCGGACTCGGATCGCGGGAACTACTGCTCAAGGCAGATGGACCATACGTGTTAATCAAGAGAGGCGGACCAGTATATGCTATCCTTAAAAGCAACAAAGTGAAATGCTAGCTCCAAAAGTATTTCCAATGAATTGACAGATTGGGGTCGGTGATGGCTGAACCACAGAGGTCAGCACGCCTATAGACTCGACTATTCGACATGGGTTAGATGCTACTCACAAGATTGCTTGTATGTAGTATATGGTGGAACTTGTCATCGAAGCTATTTCAGATATCAGACGGAGACAAGAGTTTCAACTGTTAAAATGCACTTATTAGGAAGAACACTCAAAGGTCAGACAAGAAGACCGTAACATGCGTAAATTTTATGAAACTCACTTGTGTCGACAGATTGCATTTGAGGGTTACGATAGGTTTTTGGCATTACGGTAAAGCTAAGTTTAAAAAAGTCGATTTTAGAAAAATTAGTGCATTCTTTAAGCCGACAAGTCCTGGGTGATGTCTACATTGCAGGTGAAAACACTCAC